GGACTGGCTGTACGAGACCTACTACTGTATGAGCCAGCAGCACCCGCTCATAGTCTTCCTGCTGCTCATCGTCATGGGCGCCTGCCTCGCCCTGCTCGCCGTCTTCTTCGCGCTCGGGCTGGTGAGTGGCCTTCCCGCGGTCCGCGCGCCCTGCGGGTCCCCGTGGCCCGTCTCCGCGTCCCGCCCAGGCTGCCCGTCGCCCGCTCGCCCTCGCCCTCCTACCTGCCCGCGGCCGGCCAGCACCCGCTCATAGTCTTCCTGCTGCTCATCGTCATGGGCGCCTGCCTCGCCCTGCTCGCCGTCTTCTTCGCGCTCGGGCTGGTGAGTGGCCTTCCCGCGGTCCGCGCGCCCTGCGGGTCCCCGTGGCCCGTCTCCGCGTCCCGCCCAGGCTGCCCGTCGCCCGCTCGCCCTCGCCCTCCTACCTGCCCGCGGCCGGCCCGGCTGGGGCGAGGGCTGCGGGCGGAGGAAAAGTTTCCCGGGAAGGCTTTGCCCGAGATAAAGTTGCGGGGGCGTCTCCAGGTGGACCGGCGGGGCGCGTGGGTTTGGCGTCCCTGCGGCCGCTGGCCAGCTCCTCCGCGCGTCGCTCCCGGCGCCGCTGGCCCAGCCCGGGCTAGCCCCTGGGCTTCCCCGGCGCGCAGCTCGGCTCCGGAGCCGGCCTTTGAGTTCGCGTCGGACGTCATTGGACTCGGAACAAAAGCCTGCTGTGGGGAAGCGGTTGGCGACTAGGAAAACGACGATCAGATGATGTGCCTCTTGGCTTTAAATCTGCCCAGTGTGGCCCGGTAGAGAGAAAGTGATGGAGGGTTGCGGGGATGCCCGTGGCCCATCCCCAGAGGCAGCAGGAGAGCTCGGTTTTGGAGGGACCTTTGCTTGCTTTTACTTTGATAGAGGGGTGGACGGGGCGCCTACGGTTTCCTCAGGTGATCAGAGCGCGTTTTCATCACCGGGAGCATAACGCAACCCAACATCTGATGCCAATTTTGCCGGTTTGTAATTTTCAGTGAGAAAGCTTCTGCTGGATCTCCTGAGCGGCGAGAGGGAATCTGTAGATGGCGGTAACTCCCTCCTGCTCCAAACTTTTACCCCCGCCTATGATTTGCGTGTGCAGACTGTGTGAAGCCTCGTTTATCCAGGAAGCTTGTCTGGGCCAGTGGTTAGTCTGCGGATGTCTTCCCTGAATGATACTTTCTGAGCTTAGCGTGCAAATGCGTGTCTGTATTCGCTAGCCTCAGCAGGGAGGCAAATTCTGCTCATATTGCACCCAGGGCGCAGAGCAGCCTGCTAGGTATTAGCGGTTTGCTTTGGATATCCTGAGCCAAATGGTGCTTACATATTATTCACGGAAAGAATTGTTGTCATTATCGTTCCATTTTTTAAACGCCACCCCCCCCAAACTTACTCAATGGATGGTGTTTTCAGATTGGTTCCATGAGGTAAGGCTAGAAAAATACAGCGTGGCAGGCCATGATGTCACTGGTCCTGTCCTATAACAACCAGAGCCAGGAGCACCTTTGATCCCTTTAGCCTGATGTGAGAGGAGGGCAGCCTCATCCCTGCCTTCTCATCAGCCTAGAATGTTCCTGCAATAGCATCTTATGTCTCTTTCCTACCCACAGGAACGAGAAGGACTTGAAAGCTCTCCCCCCCCCCCCAGGATCACTGGCAGGCAGTTCGCAAAGCTCGCTCCTCTTTCCCATATCTAGGGAAGGAAATACAAGTCAGTCAGAGTTTTCCTTTGCATATCTGCTCTTCTAAATATTTCTGTTTGTGATTCTCCTGAACCTGTAATTCAAACCCTCTGGCTCCTTCCTTTCTAAATGGAGAGGAGCAGGTGATGGGCTATTTATAGCACCACTAGTAGCGAGACAAGTGCGAGTTCATGGTCCCTGGCATACTCCGTATTTTCTATGCTAGAACACTCAAACTTCTTAGTGCTCACGGATTTAGATATTCTTGAATGGGTCCGTGAGAAATTTATGGGAGGAAGGCTTAGGCGTGCTTTCCTGAGTCATCTATCTTCTTGGGTTTGTGCTCTGTACAAGATTCCTTTAGGTTCCATTTTGCTTGATGCAAATATTGGAGTGTGACCCTTTGTTTAAGAGGGTTTAGAAGTTTCTTAGATGTCCCCCACTCCCACTCTCTCCCTCCACCTGGCCTTTCTCAGGTCTGTCAGTCCTCCCTTTTTTAAGCCCTCTGAGTCTGATCAGTGCTGTCTATAGGAACGTGGCTTTGGGGTTATCCACTGGTGCATGGGGAAACCTGCCCCTGGCCACCTGTCAAAGAATGATGACAGTGACCCTCCCTCCTGTGGCAGACCTTCACCTGTCAGGAGCCCTTCAGCTGGGCATGGTGGGGGGCTTATACCCTTTTAAAGGTTTATTGAGACCTTTTTACTGTTACTTGGTATGTCAACCATTTCCATACATTTCTTGCATTTAACTAATAGCAAGTAGAGTGGGCCTTTTCTATAGCTTGTTGTCACACGCCTACCATGTAAATCCTTTGCAGTATAAACTGTGCAGAAGTGTTCCAGGGAGGATGCCTGGATCTGGTCCAAAGGTTCCCTTGAGGTGGGGACTGTGGCTTCAGGGCTCTGTGAAGGGAGAGACAGCTGGAGAAAGTGGGTGCTGACTTCCCAAACTGCAGTATAGGAGCAGGGACTCAAAGCTCCTAAGGATTTGTTTCTATTTTGCTTTTAGGAATATTGTAGCCACATTTCCACTCTCAAAAAAAAAAAAAAGTCCTCCATTCAAATAACAAGGTGGTTAAGGTAGAAACAGCACTGGAGACGGAGCGGCGTTAAACTAGAGCCTTGCTTATGTGAGTGGAGATGCGTTCATGTTTCAGACTGATCAAAGCTTGGCTTCTGCGAGGTCCACCTCAGGGGATGGAAGTATCACTGCGGCTCTGGGCTCTGCCAGATTTCCACCTTGGAGGACTCCACTGGAATGGCTGAGCCCTGGTATAATTCAGGAGTGAAGCAGATCTATTTTTGCTGCCTAAAATCTTGGATCGTTTCCTTCTTTCCCCTGGATCTGCCTGGTTTTGATTTCCATTAGACTTTCTTCAGTTCTTACAGTAGAAAATCTCTGGCAGTTTTCTTAAAAACATCTCCAGTCTTCTAGAACATTTGGATTACACAAGGATCCTAGGATACTTCAAGTACACAGAGATTGTTTTGCTGTTTGTTGTTTCCTTTATATGAATTGATTTTAAATATATATTTAAAAGGAGGGAAATGGGCCTGAGATGGAGATCAGTGGGTGGAGTACCTGCCTAGCACGCATGAAGCCCTGGGTTTCATTCCCAGCACCTCATAAAGCCAGCCTTGGAATCTTAGCACTCTAGAGATGATGAAGAGGATTAGGAAGTTCAAAGTCATCCTCAGCTACATAAAGAATTCAAGGGCCACCCGGCCTTCATAAGACCCTGTCTCAAAAATAAAAAATAAAATGGCAAACTATATTTTACTTTAGTATTGTCTTGATTACCATTCAAAAATTTATTTCACTTAATTTCAGTCTGGTCATCTATGTTTCTGATGTACTGACCATGATGTTAAAGTGACCGTTGATGTGTTTTCACTGTTCTGTAAAAATAAAGACTGAATTCAAACTTTACAGTCTTGTATCACTGATTATTTTCAGTCTAAATGTCTACAAAATAGGATTAATGTCATATTTGTTAAGGATTATCCAAAGATAGCCTAAAGAAATAAGAACAATTGATGGAGTGCTTTGGACTTTTATATTCTGTTAATAATATGAAAACATTTTCTTTCGCTTGTCCTAGAAATTTTTAATGAAGGACTGATTTATAAGTTTTTGACATCAGTTTGCTGAGTGCATACCAAGTACTTCATGCAGGATAGTTGAGTGGAATTAGCAAAATAAACTTGACCCTAAAATGGAAAAATCTTAGAACTACTGAGACCAAACTAAGTTATAAATATTATCATGTCACTGTTTTTTTAGAGCTTAATTTATGAAAACCTCAAATCCTCTCATTTATTATATCCATAATGTGCCAGCTTTTTTCAAAAATTGCCTTCACTGTTAGGAAAGGCTGACATAAATTTCATTTGTCAAAATGCCAGCAGGCTCCAACCATGTTTGTTTGGGCTAAAATTTATGATTAGAAATAATCAATATTTCAAGTTGAATGGAAAGGTTATATTCCCATGAATTTAAAGTAGTCAATTACTTCAATAAAATGGTTTTTGTAGCATGACCCTGAAATAAGAGTGTGCATGTTTATTAAATATAAATAGACTGTGTGACTGAGCATATGGCCCACTGTCTTTGATGGTGATGTGGTGAGCCAGCGTTAGAAGCAATAAGCATTAACACTTTTCACTACAAATCAGTTTTCTAGTATTAGGCATTTTTTTTGCCTAAGGGCAAATCTATCAGACAGTTTCTTTCAGCTGTGCACTGAAAATGAACCTTATTCTTTCAAAAAAAAGACGCGTGTGGAGAGACACCTCGGCAGTTAAGAGCGCTCACTGGCTGCTCTTCCAGAGCAGGGTCAATTCCCAGCATCTAAAGGGTGGCTGACAACCATCCCTAACTCCAGTTCCGGGCGATCTGATGCCCCCTCCTGTCCTCTGCAGTCATTGCACACCGTGAGTGCACCTACCTACATGCAGGCAGTATACTCATACACATAAAAAAAAAATTAAAAAAAGCATCATTAAATGTATACTTGGCAGCTTGCTTTCTGTTTTTTAGAACGACAGTAGACAACAAGGCACGGTGTTGCACACCTACAATCCCAGTACTTGGGAGGTGCATAGAGGATCCTTAGATACATCATGACCTTTGTAGCCTGGACTAATAAAAGACTAGAAAATATGAAGAAAACATGGTAGTAGAGTAAGATGGTTAAGAGCATCAATCTATCTTGGAAGTTTGGGTTTCTTCCTTTCTGTGTTTCAGTGTCTATGATCTCGAGTAGACTGTTTGCTCTATGGTCCAGTTTCCATCTTTGTAAAATTAAAGGGGCCTGCCTCAGAAGATAATGATTGAAATGTATGTGCCCAGAAGTAGCTCTGGATTTTTGTGATACCCCACAGTCTCCTGGAGATGCATCTTCATTGTTCTGTATCTACCGAGCAGTCGAGATGGGAGGGGCTAGTTCTACAGGGGAGAAAAGAAAACTGAGACCCACAGGGATAAATTCATTACTTCTGGGTCCTGTAGCCACGGAGTTGGGGTCAGCTCCTAGTACATTTGGCTTGTCCCAGATGATCCTACGAGAGAACATTGCAGGTCTAGAATCTCCAGCTGCAGCCCTGCTATGTTCCCTGGCTGAAATTCCTC